AACATGGTATGCAACAAAATATTCATTACCACCTTGTCTATAAAAGAAAAATTAGCAACAACCTAAATGATCCCAGATAGACTAAGCTATATCCTGAGGAAATTGTCCTAAAGGACTATTGCACAGTCACTAGAAATTATCATTATGTGGGAGATATAAACTACATGACAAACCATTTATGTTGTGATATTTTATTCTTATGCCCTTGTTTTCATAATGTTCTTTGTGCACTGACAAAACATTTTTTTAAATACTCATCCACTTACCCCTCCTCTCCGCAGTTGCACACCACCTGGTTTCTATGCGCCCCTGGGATTGTCATATGGACTCCAGACAACTCACTGGAGTACAAAGGTCACCTCTGCAAAGTCTGGCTCTTTAGAAAGGCCAAGCCCAGCTTCTGACTTAGGCTTCTTTCATTTCCTTACCCAGCTTCTCTGCCAATGACCCAACTTCCCCTGGGTTTGCCTTTCAATCAGCTATGGTTATTTGGGAAAACACTTGAAATAGATTTACTTTCTGGGATTGAAAATTTAATACATTTGATGTGATAAATGCCTCCTTTATTATCATTAAACCAGGAGAGGAAAGGAGAGAATAACAACAGTGGAAATGAGATTCTGAAGTATCCAGGGTGAAACATTTTTAAGCAAACCACACTACATCTTGAGCCCTTCAAAGGTCGATTCCTCAGACAATTTATTTCAGAAGATTTGGCTTCTGAGATAATTGGTCTTCTTAATCCTTATTGTGGGGTGCTGGTATGGCTCTCCCGAGATTGCCAACTTCCCCCATCTGGATTCACAGCATGGACAGGTGTTTTCTGTCTGGACCAAATTACTTTAAGTGTTACATTCATGGCCTAAATTGTTCAATGTCTATTTAAATTCAACAGATTTTTGCTCTGCGACCTTTACTAAGGTTTAATTCCAATTCTGATAGAGATGGGAATAACACAGTGGAAAAGGTGCCTGCCCTTTGCTGAAAGATGTGTATGGAGACTTGCAAACAGAAAGGACAAGAGCTCTGTGCGTGTGTGTTTGTGTGTGAGTGAGAGAGAGACAGAGAATATGAATGATTTTCTAACATTTCAGAGATCTGCATTTTTAAAAGACTGGAATTCTTGTGTGTGTGTGTGCATGTGCATGTGTGTGTGTGTGTGTGTGTGAGAGAGAGAGAGAGAGAGAGAGAGAGAGAGAGAGAGAGAGAGAGAGAGAATATGAGTGATTTTCTAACACTTCAGAAATCTGCATTTTTAAAGACTGGTGTAAGGCAGGAATGACCACAGTGCAGGTTTTCTGATCCCATGCAGACCGGGTAAAGGAGGAGTCAGAGTCCTCAGTGGTTTTGCAGGTTTTTATTGGGGTTCACCAGGCATATGGCAGGCAGGGGTGCTGGGTGGGGGGCTGGGAGGCTTGTAGGCCTCCCAGCCCCCAGCAAGTCTTCACTCTATCTGAGCTCCCCGGAGTTCGTTCTGCTGCTTCTCGGCTTCTCTTTCGGCTTGGGCTTCTACTGCTGCTTCTACTGCTGCTGCTGCTGGCATCCCCGTGACGCCGCCCTTAAAAAGCCCAGTCTCAGCCCAGGTGAATCACATCTACCCATGCCCACACCCCACTCCAGGTGCCCGCCATCAGGCATGCATTCAGACAAGGATCCATCATCTATCCCGATGGTGGAAGGGCAGAAAAGCCTGACATTTTCTTTACCCTACAACTGGAATCCTCTTATCTAAGCACATTTTCTAAGTAAGAAGAAATCTTGGTCTTTGTATCTCACCCTCTGCCTGCAGCTCCAGGGGACTATATACAATTACCTTTCCCCTCTTTTTGGTGACTAAAATATCTTTCCCCTTAAACATCAATACAGGGAAAGACAATAGTAGATAACAATAATAACAACTTCCCCTTAAATAACATCTTTTATTTGATCCTCTCTAAATGCTGTATGGTGAGATCTTAGTGTTACAGTGAAGGGGAACTTACAGCTAGGAGATGCTGCTGGGGTAGAATTTAAGCAGGCTGGTCCTCAAACATATGTTGTCCCTATTGAGGCCCATTTACCTATTTCCAACAGGGTGGGATGTCTCTAATTTTGTTAATTAACCCTGCAACTCTACAGCAAGGCTTGGTTAGTAAGGTCTCCAGCCATTTGGGTGATTTGCCAGGCTGCCATCCATTCATTGAATGTTGAAACTTAAGTAAATTCTCCTGTATCTAGCATGGCTGAAGGAATCAAAGGTTTGTATTCAGTTTATGAAATTCCTATTTCATTTGGCAGTTAATTAGAACATGATAAAATAGACCAAACATGCAGATTAGGCTGAAGAAAATTTCTTTCTCTGAAGATTCAGAAGGCATTTTGTAAATGGCACAAGACCATGAAATCAGCATTGTGAACGCCAGTGAACTCCAGCTGCAGGTGACTGGCTGTGCTGGGCACCCAAGGAAAGAAAGCACAAAATAACTAAATGTAGGTGGAGCATTTTTTTCTATCTGTATCTGGAGAGTTTCTGGAGCCAGGGTCCTCCTTAGGGGTCATGGAGCTTGAGAAAAAGTCATGTGTGCATGTGTCCCTCTTCATAATTTTATATAGACAAAATTATGTTTAATTAATATTTTGTTGCTTTCAGGGAGGTGAGTTTAGCAGGAAAGAAGCCAAATGGGCACCAGAAGCAGGATGTAGAGAGATGCTAAGATCACTTTTATATTTTGAGCTTCCTGGCATACAAAAAATACGAAAGTCCAAAAGAAAAGGGTTATATAAATAATCACAAATTGTCAACTACTTGTTTAAAAGATAAGTCTCTTATTTATTAGAGTAAGTCTCTATTAGATTAGTGTCTCTCTCTTCCCCCAACCCCCCCCCCCCCACACACACACACACACACGCGCGTCATATATTTAGGGTTATGTTGAATGAGAAAATACTCTTCAAAAGAAAGTTACAATACATTCAGCAACACTTATAAATGAGCTCCTATTTTATTCATCACAGCAACATCTACATACTTTGTGAAAGAGCAGTCCATGGATATCAAAAGTACATTATTCACTCTACAAGCAATGTTTGGTGGGAATATAGATTCTTATAGCCTTATAAGTCAATGCCACCTCTAATCAAAAAGCACTGAGTCAAGAACCACTGGTTTAGAGTATATGGCATGAAGGTACAGGCAGCAAAAAGCTGAAGGGCAAGCTCCTGAGACTTACATCACTACATTTTGTAGATGGTACCCTGGGCCTCGCATATTTTACTTCTTTTTTCCTTCATAGGACATCTTAAAAACACAAAGCAATGTAACATTTATTCTCTATCATCAAGTCCTTAATACAATACAAGTCAAGCACCAGGAAACCTACTGTCATTTTACTTGAGCAAAAGCTTCATCTGCAACTCTGTGCCGTTCATGACAATATTAAGTACACTTTGTAACAACCTCTCTACCATGACTCAGACTAAATTTGGTGATATCCTTAAAAGAAACGATTTAATTTTCCAAGACCATCTTGTTTAATTTATGCAGCTAGTACTGTACTCTCTCTCCTTTATGCTCCTGAGAATAAGGTACTGGGGAAAGTAATTAGGGCATTAACTTTGTTCTCTAAAAAATACCTGAAAACTTAATAAACCCCTTTTTATTTGTATTGTTTATTTGTTTTGCACCAGTTTCAGCATGATCTATAGTGGACTTCCAGAAAAACTGCAGTCAATCATAAGCATTTGAGACACTAGGAATAGCCCCACAGGTCAGAGAAATCCACACGTAGACAAAGAGAAAAAACATAATAACCACAACAGCACAGTCTGATGGTTCTTGAAGCTTCTTTATACAGAATGCAATACTGTCTCTGCCAACTGTTCTTTATTTATTATTTATCAATCAACATATGTGTTCATTTTACAAACACATTAAACAACTTTCAGACAAATGCAAAACACGGGAAATCACACGAACAGATGAGATAGTAAAAGGGACATCTTCATCATGGAGTTCTGTTTTGGAATGCTTTGCTAATGTCTGAGGCATAATCCTATAAAAATTCCAGCTTTTTTATCTTTTGGGAAGCCCACCAAAAAAATCACATCCTCAATTGGCATGTCCTGAAAAAGTCTTTAAAATTTTTGCTCATTTTTTTTTAATTTATTTATACAAGCACTGGGTACAGTCAGAAGCGCGGGAGGGTGAGAGAACCCACCAGAGCCAGAGCAGGGAGCAGAACAGGCAGACTGACAAAATACACTGCTGAGGGGAGCAGTGGGCACGGCAGGAGAGGTCTGCATGCCATATGGGACCCTTGCCAGGCAGCCTGGGATCGAACCAGAACTGCAGAGGCTTCAGGCAGCTTTGCAGTCCAGCACTCATGTTTTTAACTGTAAGTGTCCTTCTATGAAGTGAAAAGAAAAGCATGTCTATGCTTAATGGTAGCCCAAGGAGTGAAATATCTCCAGCAGGAGTATACCTAGATGGGAAGTACAGTCAACTGTTGAGAAATAAGCTGATAAATTACGGGCAATCCTTTATCCCTAGTCCAAAGCACATAGGACTACTTGTTAATATCTAACCTGATTCAGGTCCTGACTTTGACTTTTAAAATTACTAGGCTGCCTTAAAAGTACATCATCACCCCCTCTTATCAGCAACGTAAAAATAATGGGCTGTGCATTATGAAGCTATCCTCAGGCACTGCAGCAGGAGTTCGATCCCCGGCCAGGGAGCTACCCCCATGGTGCAGCAGACCTTTCCTGACTCACCTGCTGCCCCCCTCAGCAGTGTATTTCAGTCAATCCACCTGTTCTGTTCCCCACTCTGTCTCTGGTGAATCCTCTCACCCTCCACACCTCTGGTTTGTACCCCAGTTCTTATACGCATAAAAAATATCTTTTTAAAAAATGGGCTGTGCAGTGGACATGCCATAGTGTGACCCCCCAATGTGTAATCTTTTGCACAATCCCCACCCTATTGTTTGGTGGTAAAATATGGAAAACTTCTTCCCTTCCACACCTGTCAGAATGTGTTCTCTCCATCTTCCTCTCCCAAAGGAAGAGAAAAACGTCGATCAATGGCAAAAGGCAGTTGCAGAAGAAACACCCAGAGCGAAGTTTCACCCTCAGGACAGAACTCTGTGTCTCCTTCTTGTGGTTTCTGGTACTCTAAGAGAAATTTCTCTAGTAGTATACTGCAGAAATGATCAGTGAAAGTATATTTTGTGGGAACTGCTTATAACCAATAAAATGTCAAAAGTGATGGTATATCACTGCAGTGATCCTGTTATACCATAGTGCAAAAGTGATTTTTCATATGTAATTAAGGTGCCTAATAGACTTTTAATCAATCAATAGATTATCTAAGTGGACCTAATATGATGAGCACTTTAGAAGAGGAACAAGGCCTCCCTTGAAATTACTGACTTTCAGCCACAGAGACTCTCCACTACAGCCCTGCCATTAATTCTACCATCACAAGATGCTAGAATCTTCCAACAATCTCAATTGCCTTGAAAGTAAATCCTTCCCCAGCTGAGCTGTCACCTTGACCACAGCCTTGTGAGGCCCTGAGCAAAGGACCCAACAAAGCTCTGCCCAGACTCCTGATGTATTGAATGAAAATAAAGTTGTAATATTTTAAGGAGCTAAGTTGGAAATACTTTTATGCAGTAATAGAAAACTAATACAGGCAAACACATTTATTTTTCACAGTTGTCTAAGGAAGTCCTAGGAAGAAATATGAACCCACTAGTGACAAGTGTGATCAAGTAAGAAGAATACTAAATGAAGCATGAAGGCCTGGTTCAAGTCCTGGCTTTGCATGACCTGGAGAAAGCTACTTAACCACATTGAACTTCTAAGCTCATCTGTCAAGTGCGGTTGATACAATCTTCCTAGCCTTTATCACAAGGTTCTAAATCAGAACTTTGAAAATTGTAAAATGTCGGACACATATCATATGGTTCTTGTCATGCTCCTAGTAATATAATTTCCTGATGTGTTTTAACTTATTTAATCATGAAACATATGAAGTAGATATACTTTATGACCATCAACCCCTTTTTATTGATGAAGGAAATGAAATCCAGGGAGGTGAAAAAACCTTGCCCAAGATTACACAGTTATTACTAAGTAGGAATAAGCACTTAAACCCAGGCAGTCTGGTTCCAGGTTCTGTATTCTTAATCATTACACTATGTTGCCTCTTTTAACTGTAATAAGTATAGAAAAGCAACTCCCTCTGAAGCAAGTTGAGCCTTGATATCAAGATATTCTTAAAGAGATTCAGAACCCTCAGATGACAATGATCCCTATAAACCTCTACTTTGATCATTCTTCCTGATTTGCTATCTTGGTTTTTCTAACACAACCACATATTTCTCAAAAGAAATTCACCAAGAGGCAACAATCCTCATTTTCTAGTATAAAGTGCATTGGGGCTATCCACACTGCTCAGTCCCACTGCCTCAGAGCCTGCACCACCTCCTTCTACTGTTTCCGATTATTACTTAGCTGAGAGCACACAAACAGCTGCTTACATCAAACACACTTAATTTCTCTTCAAATACAGATTCCCATAAAAACCTAACATAAAGGGGATAGAAGCATTTTTATTGAATAGCTTTTAGGTACACTGCATGATTCCCATTCTGTCTACTGCCTGATTTTGCAAATCTCTGGGCATGCAGTATCAGTTCTTAATTTATCTGAAAAAGACAAGAGTTAGAAGAGTCATTGCACAAAGGATCATGTGGTACATTCATCTACATTTGGGGAGATTATCTTTTACCTTTAAATCTTCCTGAGGTAAAGAAATTTCTTATGTCCTTTAGTAGGACAATATAGTTCTTAAGCTAATATTTAAAAGTTCTTCCTGAAGCAGAACTGAAATCTCTCCTGCTTCAATTTAAGCAATCAAGGTTCTATTCAAGTTTCAAAATCAGCAAAAAGACATTTTCTGAACCATTTCCTGACACCCCTCGATTAAATTACCTCCTTAACTCTTCCGGATCCAGGGCACACATTCCTTTATTATGCTATTTATATAATAATGTTGTTATTTATTTATATACCTGCCAACACCCAACAGAGAGCCCTTCGGGGCAGAGACAATGTTATACTTATCCTTGTGGCCCCCATACCTGGCAAAGTGACTAGCACATTTTAGAAAGTTGAAAGAAATTTTTGAATGAGTGAAAACATGAAGAAAATGGTTTTATAATGTACCATCTGTGAGCAAAGGAAAAATTTGAGCAATGTCCTATTCATAAAATCTCTCTAACAAAGATCAATATTAGCTCTCTCCTTTTGCCTCTTGTTAATTATACAATCCCAAATTCTTTCCTACCCATAGGACATATTTTTCCAACCTGTAGGTAATAGTTTCCTTGACTATTGATAGCTCCCTATGGGTTTCAGTGGAATGATCAAGAACAGAATCATAGTTCTATATATACATCAATGTCTGTCTAAATGTACCTACCTTTATGCAAGTAGGGTGCTTCCAAAAGTTGGTTATAAACTGTTAACACAAATACTATTCTATATAAAATTTATCAGGACAGTTTAGAGAGTATGCAAGTAATTTTTTAAGATTTTTAAATGCTTTTTAATATTAGTAATATTCTAGTATTTTTTCTTTATTCTTTTTATTTAATTTTTAAGTGTAAAAAGTTGTTTATTATATTTATGTGCAACATAGTCAAAATCAGTCAATAAATTTTAAGTTGAGGGCCTCCCTGGTGGCGCAGCGTTTGAGCGCTGGGCTGCAAAGCTGCCCACAGCCTCTGCAGCGCCGGTTTGATCCCTGGCCACCGGCGAGGGTCCCACACGGTGGGCAGACCTCTCCTGCCACGCCCGCTGCTCCCCTCAGCAGTGTATTTCAGTCAGTCTGCCTGTTCTGCTCCCTGCTCTCGCTCTGGTGAATCCTCTCACCCTCCGGTGCTTCTGACTGTACACAGTGCTTGTATAAATAAATAAATTTTAAAAACAAACAAACAAACACATATGCACATGCATACATACATACATACATACATACGTACATACATACATAAATAAATAAATTTTAGGTTGAAGTAATATTTGGATACCCCTATCAGGTACTGACACCATAGTGCACCCACCACCAAATCACCCACAGTCAAACACCACAGTCCACTGTACTCTCTTCCCACTTTATGTCAGGTTTAAAGTATACAATCAAGGACAAGTTTTTGAATTTGGCTTTATCTGACCCTTTGTGTGGATTCTCTATATCTCATCTACAAGTAACACCATCTAGTATTTATGTTTCTCCTTCTGACTTATTTTTTTTTAGCATAATTCCTTCCAGTTGCATCCATGTTGCCAACAATGACATGAGTTTACCTTTGTTGATCTCTGAGTAATATTCCATTGTGTATATATATCACATCTTCTTAATCCACTCATGTGTTTTGAGACTCATAGGTTATTTTCATATTTTAGTTATAGTAGCCAGTACTGCAATAAATGTGGGAATGCAAGTTTTCTTTAAAATTTGTGCTTTTGAATTTTTTGGGTGGATGACTACAAGTGGAAACACTGGGATGAATGGCAGATCCATTTTTAATGTTTTGAGACACTTCCATACCACTTTCCACAGGGTTTGGACCAGTCTACATTCCCACCAACTATAGAAGGGTTGTCTTCGATCCACATCCTGAACAGTCCAATTACAAAGAAATTGAAACAGCAATCAAAAATCTCCCCATAAAAACCAAAAACTCAGGACCAGATGGTTTTATTAGTGAGTTCTACCAAGCATTCAAAAAGAAATTATCATGCTCAAATTCTCCAACAACTGGAGGAAGACAGAATTCTCCTAAACATATTTTTGAGACCAACATTACTCAGTTACCAAAAGCAGACAAGGACAACACAAGCAAAAACTATAGACTAATATACCTGAAGAACACAGATGTAAAACTCCTCAATAAAATCTTAGCAAACTGAGTTCAACAATAGATTAAATAGATCATACATTATAACCAAGAGGGATTTATTCCTGGGATGCAAGTTTGGGTCAACATATGCAAATCAATCAATGTAATTCACCGTATTAAAAAAGGAAAGATTTTAAAAATCATACATGAACATATCGGTAGATATGGAGAAGGCATTCGACAATATTCAGCGCCTGTTTATGATAAAAACTCTTAGTAAAATAGGGATAGAAGGAATATACCTCAACATAAACAGGCCACATATGTAATAAACTCACAGGTAGTATCATATTCAATTGCAAGAAACTGAAAACTTTTCTTCTAAGATCAGATATACAACAAAGATACTACTCTCATCACTACTGTTCAACATAGGATGGGGAGTACTAGCTAGAGCAATTAAGCAAAAGAATCATCAAAGTAATCCAAAATGGAAAGGAAGTAAAACTATCACTACTTTATAGTGGCAGGAAACAAAATCAATATATAAAATTTTGTTGCATTTCTATATGCAAGTGATGAACTAGAAGAGAACTAAATAGAAGAAAAAAAAAAAAACAATTCCAGTTACATTAGCATTACAAAGTTTTAAATACCTAGGAGTAAACTTATCAAAAGAGCTGGAAGATCTATTCATTGAAAACTACAAGTCATTGCTAAAAGAAATAGAAGATGACACAGGAAATGAAAAGATATCTCATGTTCATGGGCTGAAAGAATGAAAACAGTCAAAATATCCATCTTACCCAAAGCAATTTACAGATTCAATGCAATCCCTATCAAAATTCCAATGAATTTCTTCAAAGAAATAGAGAAAACATTATTGAAACTTACATGAAACCAAAAAAAAAAAAAAATACCCCAAAGAGCCACAGCAAATGAAGGGGAGAGGAGGTATCACAGTTTCAGCCATCAAATAATATAACAAAGACATAATAATCATATTGGATGAGCAAAAAAATTCACTGTCTTACCATAGACAAAAGATTTTTTTTCACTGAATTATTTTAATAAGATTAAATAAAGCAATATACAAACATTTAGTACAGTGCCTGGCACTCTATAAAATATCAACAATAATAATTATATAGCCTGCATAATTAATTATTATCAAATTTTATCAGGCCAAGAACATTTTTTTATTTTTTTAATATTTTATTTTATATAAATCTTACATCATTTTTCATTGTTGCACAATGTATGCATTTTCATTTTGGTTATATTCCCCATACAATTGCACCCCCCCTTACTTTGACC